CTTAATTTAACCCTTATCTTAATCTAATCCTAATCTAATCTTAATCTGACACTAATCTAAACTTAATCTAACCCTAATCTAAACTGATGTTTGTGGTTTTGTCGTTAGGTACATGCGCAGATCACAGCCAAATTATGTTTTGACAAATGATGCTATTTATCCCGGGGACTGTGTTGGAAACCAGGGACGTGCTGGCTAGGGACGAGCCGACCAGAACTTGTTGGGGGCCCCTAGAATGAGAACATTGGAAAAGATAAAGAATATAGATTTTAATTTTGAAAATCAAGATTAAGAGATTACAAATTATATTTTATATTTTAAAAATCTAAATTTACGAAAATATTACCCGAAAAATTTAACAAATTATGGTACATTAATTCGAAAGTTACTGGAAAATGGTATGTTCGGAAGTGTTTTAATCCCCCCTCCCCTCCCGCTCGCCAACAATTTTTGGGGGGATAGATTAATTAGCGACGGAAATGTTTCATGTTTGATCAGGATTACCCCCCCCCCCCCAATCTTGATCCATCCATCCATCACCGGCCTGAGCAGACGTTGCTCATTCGTCGTCCTTTTTAAGACCCCGGCACGTCCCTGGAAGAAACGAAGGCATAGCAGTCATAGAAGGGCGAGGGCGGAAGCTGTTCACACTTGCAGTGCAGTAACGTTTCGCAAACGATGCAAAAACCGATCCGATCAGTCACATGACTTTAGTGTATACATAAACTTAATTGCTTAATTCTGCATGGATAGGTTCGAAAATGTATAAAAGCATATTTACTATACATAGCCAATATATTACATAAATCCTGTTATTAGCATCAATCATTTTTATTTTCGTTATTGCATTTCAAATATCCATATGTCGTATTTTATAAATAGCTCAATAGCATTATATATCTAATATCACTCGCAACTATTCACAGACCATTATATCTTGGACGAAAAAGAAGGTAAGAATAATCTCAAAAACTTGTTTTATTTTCTCATAAGTTTTGTAGTTGTACTGAGTTACATTTGATCTCATTTATATTGCTCACTTCGACTTAATTAACTTGTTTTGTCCTGCATGTATATGAAATTTTACAAATACTGCTTACTCTAATTTTTAATCGGGAAAATGAGAAACCTAGTGCAGGTTGCATGCGTGTACGTAAAGGTAGGGATGGGCGATACCAGCTTTTTCATTCGATACGATATTTGCTCGATATTTGCCGGGTTTTTTCGATACCGATATCGATATTTTCCCAACTTGAAATCATTAACAACGGCCACAACGCTAACAATATAAACATTGAATAATATATGTCAGTGATTGCAACCAACATAACCAGAAACTCCCATCCTTCCCGTGGACCATTATAACACCATAGAAAATGAACTATTTACGCCTATTTAGGCTTTTTGGTATCATTTTCATGATGATGCCGCTGCTGATGCCGCTGCTGATGCTGCGAAATATCGAAACATCGATATTTCTTGCCAGTATCGATACTTTTCTTCAAAACCCTGGTATCGATAGTATCGAGTATTTGGTATCGATATCGGCCCATCCCTACGTAAAGCTAAGCTTCTGAGTTCTGTCGCGTTGTAGTGCAAAACCAGGTGTACACTATACACTTAATATCTGCTCTCGAGGGAAATAGTGAATTTTGTTTTACCGAGAATCTCAAGAGGGAGCTTTAGCAGCGACAACGAGTACGAGATTTGCTCGCGTGCGAGGAAATCACCGTAGTTGTTCTTGTTTCCGTTCAAATGTTGCTTTTATATAGTAGTAGACAAACAAGTGAAACAACATATAAACTAAATCTCTTGCAGGCCAAAATCCCCTGCAAAATCACAGGGAAGTCCAACTAAGAGCTGTGTTATGAATATGAATAAAACATATTAATTAAACGTAATATGAATAAAACATCATAACGTAATATATTTAAATTATTGCACTTGTATAAATCATAAGAGCTTGCATTTACAGTGAATAGCTTCAAACGTTGCTTCTATATAACGATTGTTCAAATCATAATAAATTGACAAAACGAAAATATTATATACATGACGTTCCAACGAACATAACAGCAAGGATTGCGGGCGCGCGAGCGAAAAGGCGAGGGAAGAAATAAATAGAAGGGATGAAACAAATATCACGCGACTTTTTAAAATACTTCTAGACTTCTCTGTTCTGAAAAAGCACTGATCAATCTAATGTATTTGATTTATAACAGCGACCGTTCTTAGCCGTTTTCGCGAGATGTGTTCCATAAGTAGCCTGTTCTCGTGACGTAATGACTAAAGCCCCGTTTACACTACGCTCAATTTTTGGTACGGCACGGATAAAATTGGTACCCGTACCACTTTTTTGGTTCTTGGACTACCTATTTAGGTAGTCCAAGAACTAAAAAGTGGCACGGTACCAAAAATTGAGCGTATAGTGTAAACGGGGCTTAGCTAAATAGGTAGTCCAAGAACCAAAAAAGTGGTACGGGTACCAATTTTATCCGTGCCGTACCAAAAATTGAGCGTAGTGTAAACGGGGCTTAAATAATGATAAAACTAAATAATATAATATTTTACACCGTTGGTCGCTACATTTAAATATTTATATCAGCCGGTATAGATAACATTGTTTATTTTCATTAATTAAGCGCGTAGGCGTTGTTGGAGTTGGCAGGAGGCGTTTTGGAATTTTCCGAGAGAACAGGCTACTTATGGAACACATCACACGATCGCATTACCGGTGTTTCATCCCTTCTATATAATATATTCTCCCATCGCCTTCCGCTCGCGCCCACAATCCTTGCTGTTATTTTCATTGGAACGTCATGTAATATTTTCGTTTTGTCAATTTATTCGCCATATTTGAACAATCATTTGAAGCAATGTTCGAAGCCAGGAACTATCCACTACGTAAATGCAAGCTCTTATGATTTATACAAGTAAGTGCAATAATTTAAATATATTACGTTATGATGTTTTATTCATATTACGTTTAATGATTAAATATGTTTTATTCATATTCATAACACAGCTCTTAGTTGGACCCCCTGACCCTGTGACAAAATGTGCAAATAAGTCATAACATTAAAAACAAGCCAGATATTTAATACTAATAGATTATTTGCGCCGGATAAACGCCACAAATTATTTTTGAAAAACAAAAAAAGCCAGCTTTCTTTGTTTTTCTGAAAAGTCGTAGTGAGGACTACGAGATTTCTCCACAATTTCGTACTCAGATGAGCGACAGCTACGACTTTTTCGCGTTTGAGTACGGGATGGCGTAAGCATTCAGCATGCGTTTCGCTTGACAAATCTCGTAGTCGCTGCTAAAGCTCCAGTAATATTTCCCGAGACGAAGTCGAGGGAAACATTGAGGTTCGAGGGAAAACAAAATTCACTATTTCCCCAGGGAGCATACATTAAGTGCTATAATTGTTATATAGCGACAAACAAAAATCAACATTCATACAACAATTGTATTTCGTGACAAAAACTCTATAGTGTCTATAATGTAAACGAGTTTATTAATTGAATTTCAAAAACCCTACTTAAACAAATGATTTCAGCAGCATATCCTGTTGCCTGTTGTGTATTTTACTTCTCTTTTACATTCTTTATTAGTGAACACAAACTTGGAAAATCGTGTTTATTTATGTACGTAGCCGGTTTGGTTGGCAACAATTTTTCACTTGTTGCCCGGCGGGAAACATTTATCTGAAGTCATGTGACCACAAATCAGCCAATCACGTTTTTTCACCCTAAGTCCCTAGCTATATAACAATAACCTAATTGTGGGTCTTTTTAAGGTTACAGAACACCTTTGAGTGTTAATTTTGCCTAAAAATTTTTTATTGGTTTTCGTGAGAACATTAGACTAGTTCTACTATCTGACCAAATTTGATCGAAAATTGTTGAAAACTCGCAGAGTTATTTAGTAAAATACATTTCGCTGCAGCAATACGAAAAACATTGAAATATCAATTTTCTCAAAAAACACGGCGATTACTGATTTTCAAATGAGTTATTCTCCGGTGGGTTTTAACGAATTGTTCTCAAATTTTCACAGGACATAGCAAAAGACGTCAGTTTCAAAATATGTTCGGCTTTTTTTCTAATTTTGGATATTTTAATAATAATAAGTAATTCACTCAAACGATTCTGAAATATATTGCAGTCGTCAAAGAAATCGCCGTTTCAGCGGAATGACGAAATAAACAAAAACACAATATTTTCAAGAACAACTATTTTACTGTATAAAAATGATATTTTCATAGATTTATCTTAAAACCAGCAGGAACACAACTTAAAAAGCGTAACGGTAACGCGATTGAATATTTTCCTGAATAATTCTTGCATTATTTTATTGTTTGTCAATTTTACAACTTTACCATATTTTGTATCCACTGGCTAACATTTGGTGAAAATTTGATGAAAATCGGACTGATATTGAGCGCGCAGTAGCGATTTTCCGCAAAACGCCAAAAAGGGTATCCTGCATGTAACCTTAAGGAGATTTCATTGAACATTTGATAGAACCAGCCTTATAACCTTCTTTATTAAAAGCTTGGAGAATACATGTCTTTCAAAAACGTAACATTTTATTAACTTAACATTTTTTATCTTTAGTTTATCTTTGATCATGGAAGTTACAAGGACCTGGATACATTATTTGATCTTTTCATTGATCGTCGTAATTGCCTTGTTGGGAAATTCTTTAGTGATCTATGTCTTGTTTTCTCGACGAAAAACCTTTCTCAACAAACCTTATAGTATCTTTATTTTGAACCTGGCGATTGTCGATTTTCTGACTGCCATAGGTTTGATTTTCAGGTAAGGAGTGTCGCAGTAGCATGCATAAATTAAGGTATAGACAAGATGCTGCTATATAGTCTGTGCGTGGAAAATGGTATTTGACTTACTGAGACTGGGAATGACAGACACAAAAACGGAGGTGGGGAAACTTGTAAGCTGGACATTTCAGCGTTTAATAACATATATACGGTGATATGGAAATTAACTTACTAACTTGCATTCCGGCTCGGTGAGGTCATTTCTCTGCTATATACTGATTTGCTACACAGCGAGCTTTGCTCGTTATGAAATTGCATTGAACACTAGTGCATGAGTGTATTTAACTGCAGAAAATGACAGGTATTATAGACAGTATTTCGACAAAATTGTATAGGCCTACTGCCAGTCCGAATTGAGCCGTATTGTAATTTTTTCATGTATATGTGTATATTTATCCTGTAATACTTATGCTTGACCATTATGCATTATCTAATTTTCTAGTCGTTTCCTCTACTTACCTTCGATACCAACCTACAGCGAAACTGCTGCTGAAATTTTCTGTCTGACAATCTGGTCAGGGACGTTTTGCTTTATTTTGGGTTATATTTCCATATTTACCTGCGTATCGTTGACTATCGAACGTTGGATAGCTGTCGTCAAACCCAGCGCATATCGCTCAGTGAAACCAAAACACGCTGTCGCAGCTGTGATCCTTGCCTGGATCTGTGGTATAGCCGTGAACGCCTCAACTTTCTTTCGACTAAAATACGATCCTGATAAAATTATCTGCAGATGGACGCCTTTGCCTTTCGCAGCGAAAGAGGCTCCATGGATACATTTAACAGTGCAGTCAATCATTCCTTACACCACTATGGTAGTGTTGTATGCGCATATCTATTCCCGAATGAAGAATCTACCTCAGATTTCTTCAAATCGCGATTCCCAACTCAGAAAGGTCACAGTTGTAGCAGTATTGGCATGCTCGGCTCTGATTATCGGATGGCTTCCAGGCCGGGTCACATTCATGCTATCAAAGTTTGGTTATCTTCATCCAGATGGTATCATACACACTTCGTGTGTAATGATAACCTTTTGTAATAGTTGTGTTAATCCAGCGCTCTATGGGATGTACAGCCCTAGGTTCCGTGCAGAGTACAAAGTTGTGTTCAATAAAGCATTCAAAATGTGCGCTTCTTCTAATTCCTTTGCTGTGCCGCCCGCGAACGAATCCGCTGATGTACGTCCGTTACCCTTAGTTTCAATCAACGGTTCTTCTGCAGTACGTTCGTTACATTAACTCTATATATATATATATATAATTAAATCGCGTGCTTTGTAATATAGGATTAATTTTAAAGTCTCATCCACTTGTATAGGCCTAGATATATATATATATATATATATATATATATATATATATATATATATATATATATAAATTAGGTACACATCAACAAATCCATAGATCTTTATATAAATATATATACCTTGTAAGTTTTAGTTTCTAGTCATTAGATCAATTTATCTGAAGAGTGCCACATCTTGTGGTACGAAACTATTTAGTGATAAAGATGCCTAGTGGATTTTGTTGATTGTTGTACCTTAATTTAAATATGCCCTGGCTTTCCATTGAGCACTTTACCAAAAGTTTTTATAACCAACGAAACCAAATATATATATATATATATATATATATATATATATATATATATATATATATATATATATATATATATATATATATATATATATATATATATATTAATACTTAAAATGTTTTTGTTGCTACTCCGAGTTTCATGCCGTAAAGGCAATCAAAGGCCTGATGATTGCCTTTACGGCATGAAACTCGGAGTAGCAACAAAAACATTTTAAGTATTAATAAATCGCTCTATTCACTACATATACGTTCGAAGAAACTGAATTATATATATATATATATATAGGTATATATATATAGGTATATATATAGGTATATAGCTTAAGATTTTGGTTTACGAAACACAAACAGTGCTCAATACCATATAGATAGAGCGTAATATAGTTTTTCGTTTTACCTCAAAAAACCACAACAGTCAACAAAAAATCACCACCTGATGATTCCTATACGGATGAAACAGACTGTTGTGGTTTTTTGAGGTAAAACGAAAAACTATATATAGCTATATATATATATATATATATATATATATATATATATATATATATATATATATATATATATATATATATATATATATATATATATATATATATATATATATATATATATATATATATGTATATATATATATATGTATATATAGGTATATATAGGTATATATGCCTATATCAACTTTATCGTAGGTAATATATAGGCTAAATGTAAACAAACTTCTCAGCCTGTCACGCCTCGGTCAATAAAGAAAGGTTAAAAACGGCCTTAGTACAACCGATCCCAGATTGATAAATAATTTAAATGATAAATGTTATCCAATATTATGAACAATAATTCTTGAATAAATTATTGGTTTGGATGGCTTAAGGCCCATATTTCCAATAAATTTTGTAAAATGTGATTGGCCGACACAAATTTGATTGTTGAAAATTTTCAACTTTAATTAACATTAAACAATGATATTTTTTGAAATTTTTCTGTCCGTGGAAATTTTTCTTGAGTGGAAATGGACCATTACTATATGGAAACTCGCTCAAATCTGTGGGCAAGCCATCGGATTTCATCTTAAGGCAGCTGAATCAGATGTCATTAAAACTATAAAGAAAGAGCATGACTAAGTCAAACTACTGCATGCAATCAAAACAATGCATATTGATATAGGATTGATAATCAAACGATTCCATTTTTCACAGGCAGGTGAAAATTGTACTTGATTCAAAAGTTCAATATTGTCGGCAGTCGATACTATATTGATCTACTGAAACTCGGTAAACGTAATTCTTCATGCATCAAGCAATATTACCGTAATTGCATTTCCCTGCCAGAACTTCTGATTCGTTAGAGCAAATGCCTTCACCTCTATGGCTTCGATTCTCGGCTACTGCATATATAACTCATGTGAAAAGAGTCAGTCAACGCTCTGCCGAAAGTCGTGGGTTTTCTCCGGGTGCTCCGGTTTCCTCCCAGAGGGAAAGTCGACAGGGTTAGGCGGATATCAAGCACAATTAAGAAAGTAATATCGCAATTGCATGCTGTATAAAGATATAGGCCTATCACAATTGCTGTCTACGCACTAAGTATATGTAATTATATAGGCCTAGGTAAGGTAATCTCAATGTTTGATACTTTGATCTTAATGTTAAACTGAAGGATCCTAAAATTTGGCCAAGTTTTAATATTTTCACTGTTGATAAAGAGTATAGCTTACAAGTTCCAAGTGAGCAGGTTTATAACATGATCGGCACTGATATTTTGCTACTTTGGAAAATCAGTCGATACATTGTTTATAGTTGTTTTAAGCTTTCAAAAAACTCGAAATGCTGCAGCGCTTCTAAATATTTGAAATTGAAAAACTTAAACCAGGATCAAAATTGTCTGTGAGCGAATCGCGTTCGGTGTGTACATGTGTGTCTTTATTTCGTGAAGGATCACGAACTTGACCACTATCATGATCAAAAATAGTATAAGCTACTCAATATGCATGCAAGGTATATTGGCTATACTCATTTTTTCCGCTGCAACGCTTTGTTCACTGGACTTCAGACAGAAGAATTTAGTTGCAATTTTGATAATATATATGATTGTGATTTATGTCTGCCATGTTTAAAATTATATAGGTATTTATTTTTATAGTAATAACCAAAATTTTTTTTACATGAACTCTTTATATTTATATTATTTACCAAGCTCATGGGCACGGTCGACACGCTATTAGTTTATGTATAACATATGATAATCATTAAATCTATATCACCCTGATAAAATCGATATAACTATTTTGTTGTTCAAAGAGATAAGAACTGATCGCTTTATTGTTCCTTCTACATAATTGTTCAGGCTACAATCTAAAAGTTGAAATTATTCAAATGAATGCAACTACAACTAATCACATTTAGACTTTATACTTCGGATCTTAAGGCCCTGTTACACGGTGCAATTTTTCATGCAACTTGTCTCGTAATGTTTAAAAAAAGATTTTGATAATGCATTGCAAGAGGTGTTACACGCTGCAATGATTGTCATGCAACTCGCAACGATAAGGTACAGAGGCATGCGAAGAGACTATAGGGAGAGGTGTTATTTGGCGCCAAATTTTAATTATAGTAAAGCGTGCACTGGGGAGAGCCAATAGGAACTCTCCAAGCTATAAACATTGCGAGACAAGTTGCACGAAGCCATGTTACACGCTGCAATGCTAAAAATAATTAGTGCAATCGTTGCCAAAAGTAGAACCGACTTCTACTCTGTGCAATGCTTCACGCAACTTGTCTCGCAACGATTTTGACCATTGCAAGGCATGTTAAACGGTGCAATGACTCGTGCAACTTGTCTCGTAACGCCATTGCGAGACAAGTTGCATGAAAAATTGCACCGTGTAACAGGGCCTTTAGGGCGCTTTCCATTTAATGGCCTGAGCGGTCAGACTCAAATTCTTTTCTCTGTATCAATGGAACGATATGGTCTATGCTTCTCAAATATCTAGCGAAAATGGACCTCATTCTAATGTTATCTAGATTTTCCGATCGGATAGGTCCAAAGCCCAAATGTTTTGTGTTTTGACCGTTAATCTGACCGGTCAGGCCGTGTTAGTGGCAAGCGCCCGTAAGTTGTGTTTTTTTTTATGTTTCTCAAAATTGCGAAAAAAACCAAAAGAAATTTGATCGCACTAATGTATACGAGGGGCAAAATATTTTTTATATACCATGCACAAATTTATAATTACCTCGGGTCGGTACTACACCGAGGTCATAAATTCGTCTCCTATTTTTTTCCATTTTGTGTCGAGCCGCGCGCGTAGTCGAAGAGCCTGCGGAGGAGACGACAACTTCCGGTAAATAAGTGTACTTCCGGGAAATTTCAAGCATCGGCCAAAGCGAAACGGAACCCGAAGCTGTCCTTGCACAAAATCCGTCAAAATTGTTGATTTAAAACCAGAAGACGTGATAATTTTGACACACATGTTCAGCTGGATAACTATTCTCGAGTATATGTTGATATAATGTACAATACTTCGTATGCATAGCATGGGAATACCGCGGCCAACTTTCACTTGTTTGATACTGCTAAGCATTTTATGGATGGTTCTTACTGTAACTGGTAGACAACAATTTTGCCAACTGTGCACTCATTACATTCTTCGACTGTGGTACAACTATTACTAATGATGGATCAGTTATATGCACCTAATTATATTTTCGGTACTTTGATATATTTTAAAAATATCTGAAGTGACTGTCGTTCTGCTATGTGCAATCAACAAATAGACTGATAATATTGTCTGTTAGTGTTACTAAATACAAGACGAAGTAACTGTGTATATCATTCACTCGTCCACAAAATATCCCAAATAATGAATAAATACATGCAGTTAAATAATTGCGTCAGTAAATTCTCTAAATTGTTCCTGTATTTAACTATTATCAATAAAATGTTATAAAAAGGAGCTTTGATTGACTGATTCACCATTTATACTAGTGAACTATTAAACTATCGTGATTTACACGATTTTTGCATATTTACCAGACGATGCCCTATCCACCGACCCGAGGTGAACGCCGAGCGTGCGTCTTGTTTATACTATATTGCCATTGGGCCGATTGTTCAAAGCTGGATTAGCGCTAACCCTGCATGGTTAAAAGTTAACTCCCCGTTTTAGTCTGTCATGTATCCATAGTTAGTAGAAAATAAACATGGTTTGGAAGCTTGACAAAAGTCCGCCGTGTTCTATGTTTTTGTCCAAGTTTATGGAAATTTGTGAACTCGGATTCTGTACAGGGTGTCCCAAAAAACCCGAAAACTATTGAAATCACCAATAACAATTTAATTGTTAGAATTTGAATGCCTCAGCACTCTGTTGGTTCCCACGAGTGCATAATTTATTTATTTATTTTTTTTATTAACTTTACAATCAAATGACCGAAGGTAAGGACAACAGGACGTGAGTCCCTAATTAAGTCCCACCAAAAACGTACATTACATAATTACTTATAGGTATTACAAGAATACATATTATATACATAAACATTAGGACATACAACAATTATAATTACATCTATGAACAACAGATTGTATGTAAAGAACGACATTTACTGCATACAGTTTTCCATGTTCTATAGGACGGTCTACATCAAAAGTACTATTCAGCTTTCTAGTGTAATATATATATAGTTTAGATTTAAGTATGGCGACTGACGAAGATGATTTGATATCAGACGGTAAATTGTTCCATAAAAATACAATTCTGTTAAAGTATGAGTTTCGGAAGAGGGAGGTTTTGCACAGGTTTGGACGAAAATCACCAGAACTGGAACGAGTGGAGTGGTGAAGAGGTTGGGTTATATATACTGATTGATGTCAATTTCAATTGATTGACATAAGTAAATTTTATGCATAAAGAAACTATTTAAGAAGAAGCTTTAAATTCCCGAGAGCAAAAAATCGCACACTTTACAAGGAGATGTTCTTAACTAAATTTTAATACTGCACCTTGTCAATATTTTACGCATCGTTACGTTCAGCTTTTTGGCACGGCATTCAATTTTAACAATAAGTGATTTCAGATTAATAATGAACCGTAATATTTGAATATTAATAAACACAAGACAAAAGATGTGTGCACTCGGAATTACGTTTTCAACATCAGTTGAAGTTTGAATAGGAAATTCTTTGAAGTTTACCGGCCTTCCTAACCATGTTTATCTCTATTAACTATGGTGTATCCGTGTATGCTTGTATTACAAAGCTCCAGAAAAGAAAACTCCCATTGCTCCACACAAGATTTCTGAAGAAATATTTCCAAGTTTATATAAACACGCTGTTGGGAGGTTTGCTGCGAATTTTAGGTTAACCCATGCAGGGTTAAAGTGCCTATGTGACAATTTTTTATGATTGAATTGCAAAGTTCATTTAAAATCATAATATAACTTGTTTTCTAAAACTTTGTATTCTTTCCTGTATGTCAAGATTTTCGACTTTGTTTGATATACAAATGTGACTGGAATGACGTCACACTGCATAACGAGTTTTTAGAAAGAAAACGTTTCCTTGCCAAACATGTGATATTTCCACTGACATTGAAAGTGATATACTTTAAGAGTTATCAAAGCGATCATTTCGTCTGTAAATTTGAGAGAATGAGAATTTTAACAAGCTACAACACAGTCTTCTGTAACATGCATTATGCAGTACGTGTGACGTCATTTAAGTCACATTTGTATATCAAACAAAGTCGAAAATCTTGACATACAGGAAAGATTACAAAGTTTTAGAAAATAAGTTATATTATGATTTTAAATGAACTTTGCAATTCAATCATGAAAAAAATTGTCGCATAGACACTTTAAAAGCTAACCAGCTTTTGAAACACCGGCTCCAGGAGTGAAGTGTTCAGCAGACACTCATGTTATTAAGAAACCCACACGATTCAACTGAAATTCTACATGTACATATAATTTATTTATTTGCTGATTCGCCCAGGATATTGAAATTACACATAAAAGAATTACAAGCGATGGGCTAGGAGCCTACTAGAAACTTTGTTTTAGGCCCCTAGCTAAGTTATAAATTTAAACTAATTAGCAATGAAAATAATATGCAGCGTCAGTTCGAGTGCTTTTAGGAGAAAGGAAAAATAATAGTTAAATATTATATGATATGATAGCAAGCTATATTTACAATTGAATTTTTCTGTTATTCTATTAAATTTAGATGAGAGAATTTTCATTATTGTTCATGAATTTACATGATGTTGAAATTGAACTGTTTCTCTATCGTGTCCCATATCTCACCTTAACTCACGTATACCATGCATACATTTATAATGTGCCTTTCTAAATTAATTCCTAAATAAATTTATAATTGCACTTCACTTGCATGGTTGAAGACTTGAAGTAGAATACTGGGTTTGGTGGATAATCCACGTGAGTATGTACTATTTAAAACACGAGCATGCAGGAGTGCTTTGTCAGATATAAAACACGAGAGTGCTGCTCGAATGTTTTATATCTGATAAAGCACGGATTTATATATATATATATATATATATATATATATATATATATATATATATATATATATATATATATATATATATATATATATATATATATATATATATATATATATATACACCGTGTAGCTCAGTTGGTAGAGCGTCGATCTAGTAATTCGAACCGTTCCTGCATGATTAGGTCTTAAATTGTGCACATATAGATGCATGCTCATGCACTTGGATTATCCACCCAGCATACAAATTTATATATACAAATGCACTTTGCATAGATGAATTCCTGGTGGCACAGTGGACTTGGGTTAAGGTAACGAACGTACTGCAGAAGAGCCGTCTGCAGAAGAGCCGTTGATTGAAACTAAGGGTAACGGAAGTACATCAGCGGATTCGTGCGCGGGCAGCACAGCAGAGGAATTAGAGGAAGCACACAGTCCGAATGCTTTATTGAACACAACTTTGTACTCTGCACGGAACCTAGGGCTGTACATCCCATAGAGCGCTGGATTGACACAACTATTAAAAAAGGTTATCATTACACACGACGTGTGTATGATACCATTTGGATGAAGGTAACCAAACTTTGGTAACATGAATGTGACCTGGCCTGGAAGCCATCCGATAATCAGAGCCGAGCATGCCAACACTGCTACAACTGTGACCTTTCTGAGTTGGGAATTGCTATTTGAGGAAATCTGGGGTAGATTCTTCATTCGGAAATAGATATGAGTATACAACACAACCATAGTGGTGAAAGGAATGATTGACTGCACTGTTAAATGTATCCATGGAGCCTCTTTCGCTGCGAAAGGCAAAGGCGTCCATCTGCAGGTAATTTTATCAGGATCGTATTTTAGTCGAAAGAAAGTTGTGGCGTTCACCGCTATACCACAGATCCAGGCAAGGATCACAGCTACGACAGCGTGTTTTGGTTTCACTGAGCGATATGTGTTGGGTTTGACAACAGCTATCCAGCGTTCGATAGTCAATGATACGCAGGTAAATATGGAAATATAACCCAAAATGAAGCAGAACGCTCCTGACCAGATTGTCAGGCAGAATATTTCAGCAACAGTTTCACTGTAGGCTGGCGTCGGAGGTAAGTAGAGAAAACGACTAGAAAATACGACAATGGTCATTGAGTATTACAGGATTAATATATAACACATGAAAGAATCACAGTATATATATAAGGCTCAATTCGGATTGGCAGTACAATTTTGTCGAAATACAATCTATATTAATACCCGTCATTTTCTATAGTTAAATACACTCACTAGTGTTCAATACAATTTCGTAACGAGCCAAGCCAAGCCAAGCCAAGCCAAGCCAAGCCAAGCCCGCTGTGTAGCAAATCAGTATATAGCAGAAAAATGACCTCACGGAGCCGGAATGCAAGTTAGTACACAGGGACCTAGGCTCTATATGCCCGCGTCTCCTGTAGTTACTCAATAATCTAAATTGGAGACCTCTAGAAGAAAGACGAAATTATCTTAAATCTATTTTCATCTATAAAGTTCTGAATGGCCACACCGCACCAAATCTTAAAGAAGCATTTCATTTTAATAATGAAAGACATAATACTTACAATCTTTGAAATACGGATACTGATTTAGCACCATGCACCTATGCCGAAAAAAGAATTCGGCAAGAGGTGCTTCAGTTATAATGGTGCCTTGCATTGGAATAATCTTCCCCATGAGGCAAAAATTGCTGAATCTCTAAGCTCTTTCAAGTCGATATTGAAACAAAGAATGAGTTGAAATCTGCTTGTGTATAATCGCGCAGCTAAAATCAATTGTATTTATTTATTTTGTTATATTTTGTATTTCCTGTATATAGTTAACTTTTTGTAAATAGGTAATTTCACGCCTCTCATGGAAACCAGCCTTCCAACGGCTGTTGAGGCTAGCGTGGTCTAAATAAAGTTTTGTATGTATGTATGTATATGTTAGGTTTCCGTATGACAGTATATGTTATTGAACACAGAAATGTCCAACTATGGTATATATATGTATTCCCATTTTTGTGTCTGTCATTTCCAGTCAGTCAAATACAATTTTCCGCGCTCAGACTAGGAACTACCGAGAATAACGCATCTTGCATGTCTATATATATACCTTAATTTATGCTACTGCGACACTCCTTACCTGAAAATAAAAAATATGGCAGTCAGAAAATCGACAATCGCCAGGTTCAAAATAAGGATACTATAAGGTTTGTTGAGAAAAGATTTTCGTCGAGAAAACAAGACATAGATGACCAGAGAATTTCCCAACAAGGCAATGGCGACTATCGATGAAAAGATCAAATAATGGATCCAGGTCATTGTAGCTGCCATGATGATCAAAGATAAATAAACTAGGGATAAAAAATGTTAAACGCAAACTAAACATGATAAAATGTTACGTTTTTGAAAAACACGTGTTCTACAAGCTTTGAAGAAGGTTACAAGGCTGGTTCTATCAAATTTTCAATGAAATCTCCTTATAAAAAGACCCACAATTAGGTATGGTGCACACCTGGTTTTGCACTAGATATCTCATTTTCCGCCTAGAGATTAAAAACTAGAGTAAGCAGTATTTGTAAAAGTTAATATACATGGCATGCAGAACAAAACAAGTTAATTAAATCGAAGTAAGCAATATAAATTAAATCAAATGTAACCACGACTATACAAAAGTTACGAGAAAATAAAATAAGTTTTTGAAATTAATCTTATACCTTCGTTTTCGTCCAAGATATTATAATTATCTGTGTTCAACGATGGGGGCCGGCGACTGAATTTATATAATGCTCTGAATAATTGCGAGTGATATTAGATATAGAATGCATTAATGATATTGAGCTATTTGCATAATAGGATATATGGATATTTGCATGAAATCCAGTAACGAAAACAAAAATGATTGATGCCAATAACAGGATTTATGTAATATTCGCTATGTATAGAAAATATGCTTTTACACATTTTTAAACCTATAACCATGTAGGAGCAAGTTCATGTATATGTATTAATCCTATAAAGTATAATGCTATATTAATATGCATTGTACGTCTCAAGTTTTTGATTGCAGTAATTTGATTTGCTCTCAAGGTATAGTTTTAATGACACCAGATGCCCTAAGATGAAATTTGATGACCTATTCTGCCAACAATATAGGTATAAATGAAATGATAGTAAGCCATCCGAATCAATAAGTTATTCAAGTATTATTGTTCATAATATATTGGACAAGGTTGATCATTTCAATTATTTATCAATTTTAGTGAATTTCCTGCCTCCCAAGAATTGTAGTCCACTAAAAGTCACTTTTTACCATTTATTTAAAAATATTAATTATAATCACATTCTCATCACTTGAATCACTGTCTCACTCCCATCTCTCGCACTAGTCCCTTGCATTATATATATTTTAGATTATCTCACGTTCAGTTCATTCTCACCTATGATTGGTTCGTCTTAATTGCATTATTTTGCACTATATTATTAAATCAATACGTAATCAACCCCAGTCTCCGACACAATCTGGGATCGGTTGTACAAAGGCCGGATAGCGATTTTTTTAACCTTTCTTAAATTGGCCGAAACGTGACAGGCTGAGAAGTTTGTTTACATATATAAACTGCCTGCAATAAAGTTGTCGCAACTTGATATAGGCAAACTAAGGCAATAACCTCACAACCTCGTTAACCTCATTATTTATGAATGTCGCAATTTTTTTCCATACAATATTTCCCAGGTAAGGGACCGGTCATTAATAATGGGGGGGGGGGGGGGGGGG